AATCAGGTAAGCTATTCATGACAAGAAAAACTCATCGAGGAAAACGTCCTCGTCAACTTCCCTCATGTAATGATCACAAACTTAACGCACCTGTCACGTAAAAATCTCCAGAAAAACAAGCCTCGGTTTTCTGAGGATCATCCTACAAACAAGTTATCACTTCAGGTTAATAAAGTTCATAGTTACATTGTTCATTATTCGTATGTATGTTAGAACTAGGATTTGGAAGAAGATTTCAACGGAAACTTAAGGTGATGTTACACGGGACGATTCGCAACGACGATTTTTAGCGCAACACACCGTTGCAATGTTGGAACAATGTTGTTACCATTCGAAACAATGTCGCAACAATGTTGCAACGCTGTGTTGCGCTAAAGATCGTCGTGGCGGATCGTCTCGTGTAACATCACCTTTAGGTTTCTTCTGATACAAAATGGAAACAAAAGCTAAATGTAAAAAACTGAGTTAGCTCACTTAACAATTACTTCTTTTTCTTACCACATAACGGATAAACATCTTAACAGGACGATAGGGTTTTACACGAACCACAATTCTTCCCAGTGTGTCATGCGGTAGCTCTTGGTTATTATCGTCAACAACCTATATTTCAATGATAGTTGACAAACAGTGCATAAGCCTACAAAACATGTAGACGTAAATACGTAAGTATCAGAATTTGTTCGCAGAATGTCCGGCCAAAGTTGGTGAATATTTACTACTAGTAGTCAAATCAACTTACAAGCATGTCAACACCATGGAAAGGCCTACCAACAGATTCAAGCTGTGAGCTGTTTCCTGCGTCTCTGTACCATGTCAAAGCATTCTTTAAGAAAAAGTATAAATTAAGCACATAGGAGATGAAAGAGAAAGATGTATAATGAAAGCCTGATTATTCATCGTGGTATGTCTAAGACAGTATGTGTGAGGTGGTCCATAAAGAAGTCTGCTATGACTGCAGAGAATTGTCTTCACGTAGCTGCGCCATTTTGGCATTCATAAATTCCTCCATCATACTGAAAGAAAGTGGACCTCAAAACAAAGTTTAGTTAAGGGCCGTAATCTGAGCATGTGATTAGGTTTTGCAGTCAGCAACGCCTGGATTGGTCTCTAGAATCCATAACACTGTCTGCACAGCGCCTCCAATCATAAGAAAATGTAGAATTCAAACCCTCTCAAAAAGGACAGAAATAAGCTAGGTTCCTTTCCCAATGGACTCAGGAGCTCAGTGGCTCAGTTTTGTAAGATCACCCTAAACCTTCACGTGACTTGAATAACCACTTAGAATTGGCCGTCTCGTCTTACAAAAGCAGGGGTAAGAAAAAGCGAGTTTTAAGTTATTACCTCGTGCGAAATGCATTGACACTTAAATGAAGGCATCTTTGGAGGCCTAGCCTGCGGACACAGAAGTATTGCGACGACCGGAAATACGACTGTGTCCGCAGGCTATTGGAGGTCCTGATTAACAGATTTTGAAATATACCAACTCCGTTTGTCCGTAAATGTCCCAGAGCGCAACTCCTGTTTTTTCTCTCCAACGACGTAGCACCTTCTTGTTTGATGGTTCCCCTGAGACTAAGCAGCGTTTTAATGTGGGAAATTTACAGCTATCAAGAGAACCCTCGTCCAAAGCCTTTGTGTAAATGGAAGGCCTAAACTGAGCCACAGTAATAGGATACTCCTGCAAGGTTTTCAGGACTTCTCTAGGGGTCACTTTCTTGTAATGAACGAAAGTCCCTGCTCCATCGGACCAAGCACCATAAAAAGACCGAGTAAGAAGCACACTCCACCCAGTAGGAGTAGTTACCCAAATTAAATCTGTTTCTTCGTTAACCCTGTAATAGAAAATGATTCAGTTAAAAGCTTTAAGCCTAACTTGGAAAAAACCTGAAAGAATGCATTTTACAGCTCTTCTCTCTAAAGCAGACCCTCTTTAGAAAGAATGCCAATTTCAGCACAGAAGCACACGTAGCAACTCCACGGTATGGCTAGTACCTTACTAATGCGCACAATCATATCACCCCGGCAGTGGTAGCCAAGGAGAGCTGTTTCGTCCTCGGTTGTGCGTGTGCGTAAGGTACCAGTCATGCCGCGGAATTGGTATGTGTGCTTCAGTGCTGAAATTGGTATTGTCCTCTGTCTATTGAAAGCCCACCCATTCATACAGGAAGAAAAATTCACCCCTCCCTCCGCTTCTTACCCACTACCCCTTGGTGGCGAAGGGATCAAATTAAAAGCCAAAAATCCGTGGTTCTTCCGCCTTTGTCACGTACTTTTCAACTGCTAAACTTCCCAGTCCCATACTGGCTTGCGAGTGTTCGATCATCTTTGCATTTCCAGTTGTTCCGCTTGAGAAGAATATGTTAGTGGGAGCTGAACTTAATGACTTCACGGACTTGTAAAGAGAAAGAAAAATAAAATAGAAAGACCGGTTATGTATTAAACAAAACAGAGGTAAATATCAACCTCTGTGAACAGGATGAGAAAAAAAACTCCAGCAACTACAACCAAGGAATGTTGCCATGCAAACTACACGTAAGTATAATAGACAGTATAATAGGCGCACAGTAATCATTCTATGCCCTGCCGTAATGAGGAAAAAAGAGAGCGAAAGGGCTGCTTATCACTGCACTCTGCTCTGTTAAAGTTCTTTCTGTGTCACGTTGATGTCTTGCAAAGTTTACTTTTAATTAATGATAATGATAATAACTACAAGAAAAGTAATAATAATAATAATAATAATAATTTTTCGGCTGGTCAGATCTATTTTAGTTCCTTCGTAATCCTTTAATGTTATCATACTGGCGCATACAGCATTTTCGTCGGTCATTCTGTGCCGAAATTATTTTTCTCCAGGGCGCGCGAAATTTGCAAGCTCAAGGAACACGTGTCAACACGCGTCTCACAGTGAAAGTTTCCGCCGTCTTTGTCATTTTGCAGCTGTAGACAGACTGATTTTCCTATGTTCTAACGTACTGGCTCCTTATTCGTGAGTGCATGTCGCGTGCACAAAAAGATCGCCAAGAAGGTCGACCTTCACGGTATGTGTTAAGCAGGTAGGGAGATTCTGAATAAGTTTATTTGTATGTCGCCGCAAGCGAAAACCAGAAAATCAAGCTGTGACAAGTACTAAGCGAAATCAACTATACAAGACAACATTAACGGTAGAAGGATGCACCCCTTCGCGATTTTTAACGTTAGAGGAACGTGCATGAAAAGCAATGGTAATGAAAACGATACACGCCACTTGTGGTATAAAGACAACTTGAATATGATGGAGAAAGTTGATCTTTTCGTACTATTATGGAAATGACAGGCGGCACAAATTAAAGTCTTAGTTCTACAGAAAACTTATTTCCAACCTGAAAATCGACTCTTGCAGTCTCCAAAAGGTTCTCAAATGCAAGCCAGCCTTTCCTGCAAGTATAGTAAAGACCACAATATCGTTAAGATTCCTCTGGCTTAGCCTTTTTAAAAGGTAAAATATTTGCTTCTTACAAGAAACATACAGTACGTACACCATCGAATATATACAAGTAAAGATGAGCGCTGCGAGTTTGCAGCTCGCTATATCTACGCACGGTCCACGCACTGCGCGCTCGACGAGATTATAAAATCACTTCGCGATGAATTAAATATATTTATTTCTTGTACTTTCGCGTTATTAATTTTCTCAATATTGGCCTTGCTCTCTTTTCTTATAAATACTTTGGTACCTTATGTTTTGTTTTCTTTGTTTTTTCCTTTGGCATTTGTAATTTTGTGAAGTTTTAATCTGGTTATTTGTCAGTGCATGTACTATAAGTAATTGAGTTGATATTGTAAAATAATGTAATGTAAGATGAAATGAAAGAAAATAATAAAAAAAGAACAAAATTGGAGAAAAAAAAAAAAACAGGAGGAGTATTCAATTGTAATTGATAAAATAAAAGATCATGGACTCTATTTATACTCCTAGAAGAGGGCGTATAGGGCATGAAATATAAGAAATTCCTCGCAAATGAAAAGATTAAAGTCGCAATTTCAAATCATTTGACGTAATTGATAACTCTGTTTTGGCCTCTCTATTATGAAAGTCCAAGCTCTATTATGCTAGTTTCTTTGACAAACGGTCTATCTAGAGGTGGTATCAAAGAATAATAATTGTTTTTTCTCGGTCAATTCAACAAGACTATCAGCTCTTTGCTATTACATAGGAGAAACTTAAAAAATGAAAACCTTTCGTCTTAGACCTTATTGATGGATGGTTTTTGTGCAAGAAGTTAGAAAGATGCGCATGGACGCATGAGCAGAGATCGATCTTGCCAGATACCTTTGTTTAACTTTGATCCTGTTGACCAAAATCTTGGTTTTAATATTGACTTCTATAACCTGTAAAACAAATTAAATCGAAAAAACGAACAAACAATGAGCAGCAAAGGCATAATAAATAATCATAATATTTCAAACTATTTTTTCCGAACTTTTGATTGGTCTAGAGGTCATAACGTCTCTGCAGCCTACGGACAATAGTCTACCCATGCGCCATGGAGAAAAAGTCGTTTGGCTCTGCTTTGCTCCAGACAATGCTCAGCTTATGGGCAATTTGCCCCTGTCTTTAGGGATAATAGTGTCTCCTCATGCCTTTAATAACGTTTCAGAAAGCAAAACATAATGCTGATTGAAAATTGTCTCCTTTCGTTGCAATGGTTATGGTCGGTGTCTTGCACTTCAATTATTTCCCACTGCCTTTGACTTCGGCCTCGCGGCTTCGGCAATGAAATAATTGATCTGACAAATCAAGGTATTTTGCTGAACGATCTTTGCGACGATTCTAAAGTACGTGTACCTTCGCTAATGAAGGGCCAGGCCCGAAACGTTTGGAAAGAAACTCCAACTACAACACGGCACTTTTGTTCATCACTACTTTTTATTGAACATTCTCTTACTCACTTTATATCGAGACTATGAAAAGAATAATTTCACCTCCATTGTGCACGGATCAAGGAGATACAGTTAAGACAAATTACAAAAGAAAGGATAAATAAGTGATGAAAAAAGTCGGTGACCACAGTAGCCGAAGTGTTCGTGTTGGTTACTGAGTGCAGACATGTTTTGAATAAAATCAACAAATCTAAAATGACCATAGCTGTGTGCTACTAATAAATTACATTCAAAAGTTCTTAACTATAATAAACCTTTATAATACAATGCAATGTATTGTTAAATTGGGCTTTTTATAACGAAAACAGAGAGGGAAAAAAAAAATGAAGTTAGCTATAATTGGTTTTGTAGTAGAAAATTTTTATAGTTTCTTTTCAAGGCGAACCTTTTATGTTTAGAAACTTCAGTTCTTCCGAAAATTTTCCCATACCTGAACTGCCTTATATTTAAACATTACAAAATAGTTTTTTTAATCAAATTATACCAAGTGAGATACCTTGTCAATAACATCAAGCAGCTCTTCTTTAATCTGATCAGAGTTAGCTGACACTACACAGACTGGTTTGGACTTCACAATTCTACGGTGAAGTTCTTTGGGCCCAGTGTTATCTGGGATTACCATGAAGACTGCACCTGTAACAATCGTGCTAAATTAATACGATAGATCAGTCTCACCCCTAATAGGCAGTTCATTGTCGACGTATATTAGGCTATGTTTACACTATACTGGATAACGTTTGCACCGGCACAGGCCTGTAGCCAGGATTTTTTACGTTGAGGTGCGATCCAACAAACCACACCGGGGGCGCAAGTCTCTGGGGTGGGGGTTGGAATTAGGTTGTCTGAGACTGCATTTCAAGCGTTTTGAAGAACTGGGTATTTCTTGACCTTTTAATCTTCAAAGTAATTTTTTTCAAATAGAGTACTTTTTTAGAATGACAATACGGGATGCCACTAACAGAAAAAAAAGCAGAAAGAAAGTTGTAAATCCGTATAATTCGCAAAGTTTGAATAATGATCTTTGCATCATGACTATTCAATAGTGTACCAAGCTGAAGCTTCCTTGGGTCTTTCTTAGAAACACATCAATCAAAGAATTCTTCAGATCAATGTAGGTTAGATAGTGGATGTGAATAAGAGCCAGTGAAGAGAGCCTCTCTTGTGCGGATTGAGAAAATGTTTCTTGGCCTTTCCAACGAATTGACTGGGTTTATGCGTTGACATTAACATGTTGGAACATTTGTTATGCACAGTATGCGGCATGAGAGTCAAAATAAGGTGAAATCTAATAGAAACGATACAGTTAGAGTTAACGAACCAATCAAGGAAGCACTGATCATTAGTTTCAAATTACAGGACGGGATAAACGCACGCTCTTATCGTCAATGCCTATGTTTCTTTCAAAACCTTGTGTTAGTATGTCCACATAGACTTTCAAAAAAGTCCTTCGTCCGATTTAATACGGCGCAGACTAAGAAGCTCGCTCCATTTGTTAAGAAACTCGTGAGTCGACTTGTAACAAGTCTATAGGATTGATGTTAAATCAAATCTACGACACCTTAACCAAACCTGTTCTTAAACAAGCAGCCTGTATCATCCAATACTCCGGAACTGCAGGCAAAATTATCATCACACGGTCGCCTGGTTCGATATCAGCGGCCGCACACAGCAAGTTAGCGGTCCTAGAGAGAAGAAAAAGCAAAGGAGATTACAATCTCTGAATACGAGGTACCGAGGTGGCACCGTTTTAGTTGGCTCAAGGATAGATAGAGGTTACCCAAGCAGTGAAAAAGTTAAATTTTAAATTTATCGTTACATCTACATTGGGGAGTGACAAGCCTCATGAATTTTTGTAAGGGGTTGCGCTTCTTTTTAGTGGCGGACCCCTAGGCGCAGTAATTTACATAAACATAGATGAATTTCTCGAAGTGCCATTTAAAAAAATCCACCTTAGGAAGCAGGTAAATTTAAGCATAGGTTGGAAATGCCATTTAAGGGGATAGGCTGAAAAAACTATTACTTTTTAGAGTTCAAAACGACATCTTGAAAACTCCACTTCACTTCATTACCGTCACCATCAATCCACCAAAGGGCTGGAATATCACTCTTTCTTTTGCCCTCCTGCAAGAAAAGTAAAATTTAAAATACACTAATCAGCACTTTTGTGAAGTTAATACAATGCAGTTAAAACCCCCATGTAAGAACCTTGTGGATTAAGAACCTGCTGAAAGTAATTTGCCTTTTTAAGAGCGGCTCCGCGCAATTATCAACTAGACGTGGAAATAGTTAAAAAATGACCTGGCCACAAACTCAGCCGGAATAAAGCCCTATGGGCCCTAATTACAAAATCGTTGGTTTAAGTACGATCGAATGAAAAATATTTTTTCTAGCTAATTTTTTTTCCCGAGGCCTAAATGGGAAACATCATGCGAAATTGGATTCATCAGTTCAGTGGCTCGTATATTTTAAAATAAAGTTGCCTAGCAAAACATAATGACCCTTCATATTTTCACAATCTTTCTTCTATAATTTTAACTGATTAGTTCGCGACTTGGTCAACAAAAGATATTTAAAAAGGTAATTTCTAAGGGTGCTGTGACTGAAGTGTCTCCTTGTGATAATGAATCCATTTCGACAGTCTTTTTGGTTTCCAAAAAGACCGGGAACTTTCGGCCAGTTATAAACCTTAAGCCCTTAAATCAATTTGTGAAAAAGATTCATTTCAAGATGGATAATATCCGCATGGCCTGGAACTGTATTTCCCCTGGGGACTTCATGGTCTCTATTGACCTTAAGGATGCTTGTTTCAGTGCACCTGTTTTCCAGCCCCATCGTAAATCCTTATGTTTTCTTGGAATTCCAAGCGTGAAGAGTTTACTTGTTCACCTTTTGGGTACAGCCTTGCACCCGGGGTTTTCACTAAGATTTTTAAACCTGTTATAGCATATTTTAGATTTATTTTTGATTTATTGTCGTAAAACAACTCTCTGTGATTTGCGCTTTACTGTCAATGTTGAGAAATCTCAGCTAGTTTCTGTCAATAAGATCTTTTATTTGGGTTTAATAATTAATTCCATAGCAATGAAATTGCAGTTGCTGGCTGTTAAATTAGAGAAAATAGTCTCAGCCAGTAAAGTTCCTTTTAGATAAGCACCAACCTAGTGTTAGGGATGTTGCTAAAGTAACTGTGCTGTTAGTTTCTGCACTCCCGGCTGTGAATTATCTAGAGATGCATTACCGTTCCTTAAGAGTTGTGCAAGACGCAAACGTTGTGTGGAAGCCTTGGTTATGACAGGACACGATCATTAAGCTCTCAAGCTCGTTCTGATTTACAGCGGTTCATTGAGAATATTACCCAGTGCAATGGTAGGCTTTTTCAGGTTCCGAAACTGATTGACATTTACATTCAGACTGATGCAAGTTTAATTGGTTTGAGAGCCGTGAGTGGTAGCCTGTCTGCATCTGGCAGGTGGTCTCAAAGCGAATCCAAACATCACATTAATTACCTGGAACTTCTAGCACCATTTCATGCTGTCAATTGTTTTGAGTCTAATTCAAGGTCCGTTCATGATGTTAGACTTGCAATTGCCAACTCCAATGCAGTGCCCTGTATTATCAATGCGGAGGGTGTACGATCCCCCTTATTAGATTTATTGTTCAGAAGTATTTGGGACTGGTGCAAGTTGAGGGATATTTTTATTTCTGCTCAGCACATCTCAGAGAAGGTTAATACTCTGGCCTATACCTTATGCAGGGAAATCTCCTCTAATTTGGCGTGGTCCTTAGATTGTTTGGTTTTTAAGGAAATTATTTCTCAAACCTTTATTCCTGAGATTGACCTTTTTGTATCTAGGCTTAATGCCAAAACTGCGAAGTTTATCTCCTGGCACCCACTGCCAGGTTCAATGGCTATAGATGCCTTTTCTTTTAGTTGGGATAATATGAATTGCTATGCCTTTCCTCCTTTTAGTTTGCTACCTCGAGTACTAGCCAAGCGTCGCCACGACAAAGCCTTAGTTCTATTAATTGCATTGGTATGGCCTGCTCAGAGTTAGTATCCACTTCAGTTACAGTTGTCAGCAACTCAGCCTATCTTGTTGCCTCGTCTAGAGAACCTCCTGAGTCTCCCTCATAACCAAGAACAGCACCCACTGAGACACAAACTGAACTTGGCCGCTTGGACATTATCATGAAAGTTCTGTCAAACAAAGGATTTTCAAAGCAATCAGTTGACATCATTTGCGCATCATGGACAGCAGGTACCGAGGAACAGTACAAGGACGTGTGGGACAAGTGGTCTGGCTGGGTTACAAACGGCAAATTGATTTACTTCAAGCTTCTGTCATCCAGGTGGTGGAGTTCTCAACTGTTATCATGAGGGCAAAGGATACTGTACCATTAACACTTATCGTTCTGCACTATCTACAACGCTTTGTTCCGTGAACAATGCTCGAGATTCTTCTTGGTTCAGATCCTTAAATAGCGAGATTACTCAAGGAAGTGTACTTTCTCGGATCGCCAACTCCAAGGTGTACTTCTACATGGTATGTTTCTAAAGTGACAGACTATTTAAAGACTTTACCTCCTCTACATGAGCTAAGTTTAAAGTTGATAACTTTAAGACTGTCATGCTCTGTGCATTAGCCTCTGCACAGAGACAGCAGACATTAACTGCTTTAGACCTAAAATTCAAAAAGGATCTCAAGATTCAATGAGCTTTGATGTAACTGATCGGTCAAAGACTTCCAGGCAAGGGAAGTCTATTAAGATCACCTTTTCGTCTACAGGTTGTGTCTCAGTTTGCCCGCTTGCTGCATTAAAGGAGTATATTTCTCGTTCTGAAGCACTTAGGGTTCGTAATGGGCATTTTGTTTCTAAATTGTTTTTGTCCTTCATTAGGCCATACAACCCTGTGTCCCCTAGGAAAATAGCTAGGTGGATCATGTCAGTATTATAGTCCGCAGAAACTCGAAATTTAAGGCACACAGTGTAAGAGGGGCTGTCACATCTCATGCGTATGTCACCGGCGCCCCAGTTGCTGATATCCTTAAGATGGCAGATTGGTCTAGTGAGCATGTTTATTGCAGACATTATTTGAGAGATGTTCTAGAGTAGGTCTAGTCCTTAATCTTAATAAATGCCTTATTTTGCTGTGTATGGAATTGCTGTTTTTGTTTTTAGTGCGCGGTTCTTTAAAATCGCATAATTATCTCATAATGCGGAGCATATTGAAAGAGAAAGGAAAATTAGACGAGAAGTACTTACCTAGGAGTGTAATTGAAGTTCTCTTAAGATATGAGGAGCATTATGGGATAATGCCTCCCAACCCTGTCTTTTTTCCTTTTCGATGTTCCCACCCTTGGTTCTCTTGAGGACCTCACCCTCTAGGAAGAACTGCGTGTCACTCTGCCTCGATCCCAAATATAACGACGATTAAACGTAAACTTATTGAAGAAAATTTGTACTGGTGACCAATCCATCCTTCATACGTATTAATAGAGTATTACGAAATGTGTAGAATTCTCTTGGAGTTATTGTGAAGTTAGTAAGTACCTCCCGTCTAATTTTCATTTTTCAATAGGCTAGTGTTCTGAAGGAAAATTTTGGCAAAACAAAAACACGCAACATGAAAAACGAGACAAGAAATCTACGGCTAGGTTCTAAGTAAAACTGAGATTAAACGCTAGAAGTCGCCGAAAATGAATATTCGAAAGCGCCTATTAGCTTGAATAACGGAAAACAAGCAAAACTTCAATGCAAAAGCCTAAGCGAGCGTAACATGAATGAATACGAATAAATATGAAAAACGATCAAATATAGGAAAATATATGTAAATATGAAATCTACGAGTAAAGAGCAAAACGACAATAAATGTTTATAGATAAACAAAACCTTGTGAAATGTGCAATTTCTTCTGTAACAATTAAGTTGTGTGAAACAGACAAGAATAATAATTTAGATATGCTCAGGTTACCTGCTCTTTTAAAGCCCATTCGTCTATGACGTCTGCAAAGTTATAATATTCTGGAACAAGAAAATCTTTTGATCCCCAAATTACGTTGTCCGCCATGAAAAACGAAGCTTAGGGTCAGTCTGCAACAAAATCTGATAGATTTGTCAGTAGTGTTTAGGACTAAGTTAACTTCCTCTTCATCGATGTGTCCAAAGGTTCCTTAGCAACCTTCAAAAACAAGGAACCTACATTCGACAAGATCAGAGCGGAAACAGACACGGGCTGAAGGTAGTCACAATATTTGAAAATTTACACGCGTGTTTTAGGTGCCTGCCTAATCCGCAAGCAAGCTGTCCATAGATTCTAAGACGAGAACGACTACGAGTACGAGATTTTCTCAATAGTAAGTAGTGCTCGCGCGTGAGGCATTTTGGCGGGAAAACGTGGTAGCCGTCGTCATTCGCAGGCGAGTTTTAGCGAGAGTGTCGTAGTGGCGGGAACAAGTTACCAAATGTAAGAAATTTTAGCATTTTGCAATCGGTAGCTTATAGAGGGCTTAACCTCCTTCAATTGACGCCTACAGTTCTAAAGTATAATAAAGACTTCCGGGGTGTCTATTTTTCGACAATACGCGAAAAAAATTTAAATCAAATATCGTACTCGTAGTCGTTCTCGTCCCTAAAGGTCTGTACTACCTCCAATCTTAAGCACTTCGTTTGCTCGCCGCTTTCACGTGATCCTCAATCTAAAGAGAGTTTGTTGTTAGCTCTGCTGAATCGATATTAGCGTCCCTTTTCTATATAACGTCAGTTCTGGGGTGCAAGTAAACACTAAGTTAACTGCTGTGTTGATCGCGTTTAATAATGTTATAAAACAATTAGTTCATGCGTCAGCGTGCGTATGTCAAGATATTGAGCACGAGGGACATAAGAGTTGCTCGGGGCGCACAACTCTAGCCTCTTGAGTGTTCTCCAAACTTCCCAAGTGCTCAATATCTCGACATACGCACAGCTGAAGCATGAACTAATTGTTTTACAACATTATTAAAAGCTATCAACGCAGCAGTTAACTCAAAAAAATTTATTATTGTAGCGCGCCCTCAAAGCAGTACGCGTCAATGTCTACGTGACTATATTTTTGTTACCTCACAGTTATGTTTTTATCATAAAACTGAGGGAAAGTTCACTTAACGCGCTTAAGTTAGCTCTCAAAAAGATTAAAAAATCCATATTGAGGTATCGGAAAACTATTAATTCACCAAAAATTAGTTTTGAGAGAAACAACTTTGCAAAGAATTATCTGCACATGCCATAGCCCGCACAGCTCGCGCAGATGACAACAACAACTACACTCACCTCTTTTCCCTACTATCGGTAAACGAATTCAAAAGTTTTTTCTTAAATTTACCTTATAAGACACATGGTAACCGCTTCATTGTGTACTGTTGAGTTATGAATGTACTTAGGAGACGTCTTGAGAGGATTGCTAAGCTCATAAGAACTCTAGGAGCGCTTACCATTGTACGGAAATTTCGGTGAAAAATTTCCGTCAAATGGTACTAGTTTTCTTTTGGCACCGAAAACAGGAACGGGATGGAGTTGTACCATTTACAAAATACCGCTAAATTTCTCACTTTCTCTCGACATGAAGCCTGGCACTGGTAATCAAAACAAATAGTACAGAAAATTTCGGTCATTTCGGTAAGAACGGGAAAAAGGTAATACCTCGAAAGGTATTACTTTTTCTCCGAAAAAATTTCCACCGGGATGAACCGTTCCATTTGAATTCTCCCCGGAATTTCCGGGTTTTCAGTACAAATGGTAAGCGCTNTAGCCTCTTGAGTGTTCTCCAAACTTCCCAAGTGCTCAATATCTCGACATACGCACAGCTGAAGCATGAACTAATTGTTTTACAACATTATTAAAAGCTATCAACGCAGCAGTTAACTCAAAAAAAATTATTATTGTAGCGTGCCCTCAAAGCAGTACGCGTCAATGTCTACGTGACTATATTTTTGTTACCTCACAGTTATGTTTTTATCATAAAACTGAGGGAAAGTTCACTTAACGCGCTTAAGTTAACTCTCAAAAAGATTAAAAAATCCATATTGAGGTATCGGAAAACTATTAATTCACCAAAAATTAGTTTTGAGAGAAACAACTTTGCAAAGAATGATCTGCACATGCCATAGCCCGCACAGCTCGCGCAGATGACAACAACAACAACACTCACCTCTTTTCCCTACTATCGGTAAACGAATTCAAAAGTTTTTAAAAGTAAGAACGGGAAAAAGGTAATACCTCGAAAGGTATTACTTTTTCTCCGAAAAAATTTCCACCGGGATGAACCGTTCCATTTGAATTCTCCCCGGAATTTCTTAAATGGTAAGCGCTCGAGGTGTAGTTTATTGACGTCATCAGCGTGCTCAATGGGAAAATGTTAAAATCATAAAAGAATTTTTGAAAAGATTTTGTGGTTGAGCAAAACTTCACTCGTCCGAAGGGCGACTTTTGAAGTTATCTCAATCGTCTGTAGTCGTCTGGGACGACCGGACCGTTTACTGTGTTCATACTTGCGGCCCGAAACCAATGTCAACAATAATAAACTTGAACTTGCTTTGTAAGTTGTCTTTTATTCTTCAGCGGCATTTCAACCAAAAAAGATAACTTCCTTACTGTCAATTTTAATTACGCAAATGAGTTAATTCTTAACGTAGTGGATAATGATGTGCTTATGATTTATTAAGAGGCGGTGCAGTACAGTATAACACAACTTAAAAGAGAGTACTTTAAATGAAATATTACAGTGTAACAATTAGATAATTATGTATGAATTGAGAAATAAATCAACTATTTTATTCCAATTTGGCTTTATTGGTTCTTAAGTTCTCAAGCTTCCTTACAGTCATTGCCACGAAGTAATCAAAGGATGACCTGGCTAGTAACTCATATCTCATGAAATTCGAATACGTTAGGGACGAGGGCATAATGGATCTCGCTTTCAAGCCCGGGGCGGGGGGTGAAGGGGAAGGGGCACTCAGGAGTAGAGGGGTGCGAACGAGGTCTTCAAACCCTGACGCTGTTTAAGACAAAATTCGTTTATTTGGCTAGACTTAATTTCATCATGTTTCATGACCCTGATTCGTTTCGTTTCGTATATAGAATAAGGTAATTTTTTAAACTAATATCATGGAATTAGATTTGTGTTTAGAAAAATATTGTTGGTATGATCAGGCTCAATTTTAGCAGCTTTCCAGGTTAGTGCCAAGCAGAACTCCTATATGTACATGTTGCAAATGTACATGTAGAACGCTCATCGCTAACCTTCACACTCTTTTAAAGGCTTCCGGTCCAAAAAGGCACCCTGTTGAAAGCCTGCAGGCAGGCGCTCGAAAATCCCCTTCCCCTTTCCTTCCAAACGCTTGCTACGCAAACTACCCTGTTCAATACTCTAAATAGTGAAATTGTATATGTTGTGGTTTAATTTTATCCTTGGTTTAAATTTTAATATATATATTTAGCCAGGGCTAAAAGCAAAGCTCCAATTAAGAAATTTATAATTTAAATCAAACAATAAACTTTTAATCCACAAATCATTTAAGTTAAGGTGGCTCCCTAGAGTATTTACCAATAATCCGAGCTATCAAGCATACGTTACAGAAGGAAATCTAGTTACTTTGTCTTTGCGATTTTGTTCACGAGATTCACCACTAAGGTTACCCATATAAGAAGGCTCCTTTATCAAGTTTCAGTTTCTGGATTAAGGCCATTGCCATGGAAACATCGCAACCTTAGACAGGCAGTAATTTTGTCATTTTTGCCCATTTTTCCTTAATATTTCTAATTTCCCGCGGTGAAATGTCTTTAAACTTTGCTACTTTATATTAACAATATTGCTTAACGTTTTAAAGTGGAAAAAACATGGGGTCGTTAAGACGGTTTTGCCAATATTTTGTAATTTTTCTTAATAGAGGAGTTTAGCTCTTATAGATTTTGACAAAAAAAATTACAGTACAAAGGTACTGCGACTGTTAAGAAATGAGGCGATTTTTAAAAAATTTACCGAAGGAAACGCGAGAAATTCACGGTTAATTAACTGCGCTGACGTCACAAAAATCCGAAAAACACGCGTGGTTCGGGATCGTATGAGCCAAATACGCGCGCGAGCCATCACGCCCGCATGCGCATAATACACAAAGCTACTGAAAACATGTAGTTTCTTTGAAGAGTACGAAAGCCATTGTTTTGAAGCCTTTTACTTGTATTATTACGATGACATCTCGCCAGTTGAAAAAGGAGAGATAGCTGATTCAATTTTATACCTAACACAGGATGTTTTCTTCGAAGTACTTAACTATTGTAGTTAAAATTCGAACCGTGGTGGTCACTCGTGAGGATGGCGATCGTCGGAGATGAAGACGGTGATTGTGCAAGGATCGCAATAAGCCCTTCATTTCCTAATCTGCTGTACACTGTTTGCAGATCTTCAAACGTCAGCCCACTTCCGGATACTTTTTCAACCTTGTTCTTCTGTAGGGATAATTTCGACGGCGACGTTTTTCTTTAAAAGTCTGCAGTAAAAGATGGGGCCGATCTATAAATCGTACATCATGTCCTCAGCTACACGTACAAGACCGTAAGTCTCGACGGACAACTATTGCTTTCGTCAAGGGTCAATCTGTAAGTAAAATTATTTCTCGTTGTGCAAAAACATTTTCTAGTGCATCTTGCATGTGCGTTGAAGGACGTTTGAAACAAGAAAAAATACAAGGATGTTGGTTCGTCGATGGAAAGGTTCCTTCGATTAGGATGCAAGTTAAGTGGAAAACCTTTTTTCTGATAAGTTTTTTAAACAATGTGATAGAGTCAGCAAAGCCAAAAAAAAA